ACTTCATAAAATGAATTTGGCAGTGTTCTCTCCCTTTCTATTTCATGAGTGAGTTTGGTGTCAGTTTTTCTTTAAAGGTCTGCTAGAACTTGGCTGAGAATCTATATGGTTCTTGGTCTTTTTGGGGGAAGGCTTTTAATCACTGCCTCAATATCATTGCTTGATATTGGTCCATTTAGGTTTTCTACATCTTCAATTTGATCTGATTTTTATGTGCGTAGAAATTTGTCAGTATCTTCTAAACTTTTCAATTTTTTTGAAGTACAAATTTTCAAAATATGTTCTAATGATCCTCTGTATTTTAGAAGTGTCTGTGGTGGTATCACCTTGTTCATCTGTAATTTTGTTGATTTGGGTATTTCTTTTGGTTAGTTTGGCTAAGGGTTCATCAATCTTGTTTATTTTTGCAAAGAACCAACTCTTTTTCATATTGGCCCTTTTTTTTATTCTCAATTTCATTAATTTTGGATCTAATCTTACTTCCTGTCTTCTACTGATTTTGAAATCACTTTGTTCTTCCTTTTCTAGAGGTTTGAGAGGTACCATTAAATTGTTTATTTGGGATCTTTTTGTTGGTTTTAAAAAAAAATTCTAATTAGTTATATAGGACAATAGACTGCATCTGCATTTTGACATATTGTACACAAATGGAGCACAACTTCTCATTCCTCTGGTGTACATGGTGTAGTCATACCAGTAGTTTTTCTTGTTTAATGTATGCATTCAATGCTATAAATTTTCCTTTTAGAACTATCTTTGTACTGTGCCAGAGATTTTGATATGTTGTATCTGTTCTCATTTGTTTCTAAGAATTTCTGATTCCTTTTCTTATTTCTTCTATGACCCATTCCTCATTTAAGAGAGTATTGTTCATGGGGTGCCTGTAATCCCAGTGACCTGACAGGCTGAGGCAGGAGGATTTCAAGTTTGAGGCCAGCCTCAGCAACTTGGTGAGGTTCTAAGCAACTTAGCACAACACTCTCTCAAATTTAAAAATAATATAAAAGGACTGGGATATAGTTCAATTATAAAGTGCCCCTGGGTTTAATCCCTACTATATCAAAAAAGTATTCTTTTTTCAATCTCCATGTTTATGTATTTTCTATAGCTTTTCTTGCTGTTGATTTCTAATTTCATTCCATTATGGTCTAATAAGATGCATGGGATTATATTGAGTTTTTTGTATTTGCTAAGATTTACATTGTGACCTAGAATACGGTCTATTTTGGAAAAGGTTCCATGAGCTGCTGAGAAGAAAGTGAATTCAATTTGATGTGAAATATTCTGTAGATGTCCGTTGGACAAAATATTATGTGGATATCCGTTTGACTTATAATATTATTTAGATATAATATATAATATTATTTAGATTAGAAGTCTCTTTATTAGATGAACTGTCTCTTGGTGAAAGTGCTGTGTTGAAATCACCCAATATTATTGTTTTCAGGTCTATCTGGGATCAATTGTCAGGAAGAGTGTGTTTGTGTGTTTTTGTGTGTGTGTGTGTAATTATGTACACCAACATTTGGGGCATAATTATTTACTGTCATTATATCTTCTCTTTGGATTGTTCTCTTTACCAGTATATAGCAGCCCTCTTTGTGTCTTCTGATTATTTTGTTGACATCTGCTTTGTCAGATATGAGAGTAGCTACTCCTGCTTGTTTTTGAACTCCATTTTTATAGAATATCCTTTTCCATCCTTATACTTTCAGTTGGTGGATGTCTTTGCATGTAGTTGGATCTTGTTTTTTAATCCATTCTGTGAATCTATATCTTTTAATTTGGGGGTTGAAGCCATTTACACTCAGTGGTATGGGTAGATGCTTATTTTTTCCTGTCATTTTTGTTTGTTTGCTTTAAATAAAGCAAATTAAATAATTAGGTCTTAATTTTCACTTAGCTAATTGCTCTTTTAGAAAGCTTCATCAATTTGGGAGTTTTGGGATTTATTTTTGAGTTCTTCTGTGTGTGGCATATCTTCAAGTATTTTTTTAATGCTGGTTTAGTGATCATGAGTTTTTTTTTAGTTTATCCTTATCATCATGGAACAGTTTTATTTCTTCTTCAAATCTGAAAGATAGCTTTGCTGGATTATAGCAATCTTGACTGACCATTGTGGTCTTTTATGGTTTGGAATATCTTATTTTAGGGTCCAATTTGAGAAGTCAGAAGTGAGCCTTATTGGCTCACTTAAAGAAGTGTGAGCCAATATTTTTTCTCTTTAAATTTTAATATTCTTCCCTTATTTTCTATGGTTGGCTTTTTAATTATGATATGTCTTAGAGACCTTTTTTTTTTTTTAAAAAAAAATCTTGTCTATTTGAGGTTCTATATACGTCCTGTATGTGCATGTCCATCTCATTTCTAAGGTTAGGAAAATTTTCTGCTTTTGTTTCACTGAAAAGCTTCTTAATGCCTTTGGTCATTATATATCCATATGTTCCCTTGACTCCATGTTCCCATATATATATCCCAATGACTCTTAGATTTGGTCTCTTGATGTTGTCCCAGAGTTCTTGTATATTCTGATTGTGGTCTTTTATTTTTTTCTTTATTGCATACTGAGTAGTCAAGTTTATATACACTGTCTTCAAGGTCTGAAGTTCTATTTGCTATATAATACAATCTTTGTTGATATTTTTAAGTGAATTTTAAACTTCATTCAGTAGTCTTTCATTTCCAGGAATTCTGATTGGTTTCTTTATTGAAATTGTCTTTCAGTTTCTGTATTTGCTCTCTTAATTCATTCCTTAGATCTTGTTTTAGCTCACTGAACCTTTTATTAACTGAATTTTTATAACAATTCTCTGGAATTTCATCCATTTCCCTATCTATGGGTTACTTTGTTGGGGGATTGTAAAGCTGGGGGAAGACTTGTTTGCCTGTTTCCTCATGTTCTCAGAGGTCTTGGACTAGCACACCTATTGAGATGGATTAAAATAAATGTCCATTGTCTACTACGAAATCTGTAAGACTAGTTGCCATAAAAAGAGAAATGGTGGGGTCAGCATTTAACACCAGCACCAACAATAAACAATTGTGAATTAAATCTAATATTGAACAGTAATTGTCAACTATATCATCCACTGTGTTAATAACTACACCAACACTGATGGTGGGGAGTAGGAATTATATCAAACAAATTGTTTTAAAAGGTAGAATAATTACATTTCCTTAGGTGAAATGAAGTAGGAAGGCAAGTGAAGAGGGGGTGCAGGAGAGAGGTAGCAGAGGTAGAGAGAGGTAGAGAAGGAGGATTAATAAATAAATAAAAGTCATAAGAGGAAAAAATAAAGGGGAAGAAGGAACAAGGAAATTTGACAATCTACCCACATGTCAGATTTGTGGTGTATTTTCCCCTTAAAGAAGAAGGAGTGATTAAGAGAAACAAAAACAAAGATACAGGGCTGGGATGTAGCTGAGTTGGTAGAGTGCTTGCCTTGCATGCACAAGGCCCTGGGTTCAATCCCCAGCACCACCAAAAAAAAAAAAAAAAAGAAAACAACCCAAGAACCCCATATAAAATCTACCCTTCAAATTCAAAACAGGCTACATAACAAATGGGTGAAGAAAAAGCAATTAAAATGAAAGAAAAATTATATGAATACATCTGTATCCTTGAATCTATCAGCATGACCAGAACCTACACACAGAGAATGGAAAAAAAATTTTAAATATATTCTTTTTTTTAAAAAGGGGGAAATTTTAATAAAAAATGAAGGGATTATGGTGTGTTAAAGTGGTGGCAGGGATGGATGTTTATTTCTTACACTCTTGGGCCATTCTTTGCATTTCTTTTGGGGCTGTGTACCCGTTGGACCACGGACCAGGGCTTGTTAAACCCGACTTCTTTGTGTTTCTCACCAAGCTGCCAGCCATTGGGGTCTGAACCAAAGCTGGTGGTAATACCTCCCAGCTTCCTGGCTCACAGCATAAGATAGGATAGACTGAGGAGGACTGAAAATCGGAGTTTTGTCTGGATAGTCTAGCCCCAGAGTGGGCCTGATGGGGAGATCTAAATGGGAAGCTCCAGTGTCTGGGGCTTGGTTCCGGCTGTCTTAGGAACTTTGTTGGAAGGATTTGAGATTAAACACACATGCCGTGTTGCTGAGTAGATGCTCATCTCTGCTGGATGTCTGGATCTCAGGAACCTCCCCAACCCATTCTAAGAGCAGGAAATCTAATTCTCTGCAGGTCTTACATATTCCACCACCATGGGTGTGAGTTTCCCAGAGTCAGACCTGGAGTGCAGAAGTGCCTTCTGACCAGGTTTCTGGCCTCTTCCAAGCTGTGGGTGACCAGCAACAAAGGGGACTCAGGCCTCTCTCCCCTCAATTTCTCAGCCTCAATCACCACGGGCACAATCCTCTCTGCACCTGTTTCAGCCACACGGGTCTGAACTCCACAACAGGTATGGGACTGGGGCTTATTAAATCTGACTTCTCTGGGTTTCTCACCAAGCTGCCAACCATTGTGGAGACGCCTGTTATAAGCCCCTGGTCTCTCACCTCTGCATGCTGCCCTGAGGCCACCTGCAGTTGGTTCCCACCCTGACCAGGCTGGCAGGCTGAGATTCTGACCAGTTTCAATCCTCAACCTGCCCCACCATCTCTGGGTCAGTTAAGAGCAGCCTCTCTCTCTCTATTCCACAGGTTCTCCCCAGCCTCTCCTCCTGTGCTCCCTGCCGTGGACTGGCAGCATCAGTGCTACCAACATCAGCCAAGTCGGTGTGTCTCTATCATATTGTTTCTTGTTTTGTGTTTAAAGCTTCTGGATTTCTGTGTCTGTGATCACTTTACTGTCCAGTGTTGAATGTCAGTGAATTCCCTCGATCACCCACCTCACCGAGGAGCAGTACTGCCACTTGGGTCCTGAGCAGAGGAACACCTGGGGGCATGCCGTCCTCTAACCTGCTGTCTTCCCTCTGGACACACATGTTAGATGTGTGGTGTATTTTCCCCTTAAAGGCCTAACAGAAAAAAAATCAAAATACTTACTTTTCAGAGAAAGTAGCCTGGGGCTTTTAGGCTCCTCTTTGTCGGAAGGGTCAGTTACTACCTGTGGTCTTGGTATTTGTCCTGGGTTGTGGAAGATTTGTTGATGCCCATATTTTTCAAGGGACAAGAGTGATTCAGACTCCTGGGTATTATTCTGGTAGCTCTCATGGTGATGGTGGAAATATATGAATAACGGAGGTATCCAGATCCCAAACAACAAGAACGCACAGAATAAATACTGGATTAAGATATTTCTCAGTGTAAACCTAGCATTTTTGAATGTCCGCTCTTCAATTTCCTAAATCAGAAAATTGAAGAGAAACCGTGTTAGGTATTTCAATGATTTCATTTACTTTAGTTAAATCCACTTTCCAGTGTTTTAAAAACATAACCGTTTTGATATCAGTCCTTATCATATACATAAAACATATTGTTTTTCTAATTAGCAAAATAATCTTAAAACAGATGTTTACATGATTATTTAACATTCAGATATAGCACATATTTAAAGTCCTCAGCCCCTACTCCTGAGTGAAATAATGTGAAAAATGCCTCACTCATCTCTTATCCATGCCCAACCCATCTTGGAAAGATATGACACCAGTTAAAAAGTTAAAAATGTAAAGACATGCAGTGTCACATGCTACAGAGAATATGGATAATGAGAACTGTGGTCCGCTCCCAAAGGGACTAAAAATTTGCATGATTCTTTTGGCAATATCTGGTTAAGTTGAAGATATATACATAAGGTAAAGAAGTTGTCCATCATGAGACATGTACAAAAATACTAATTGAAGTAATGTGGGTACTGGTTTAAAATGAGATACAATTTAGGTCTTTCTCAATAGAAGTGACAAAGTGAGGCTATTCATTCACTGATGGAATAAATCAACTGAAACTACATGCACTAATATTGTGAAACCTAAAAACCATAATGTGCAAGCAGAACATGATGTGAATTTGGAAAACACAAGAAGCAGTGCCACTGTTTACAGACGCACCTGTGTGTAAACAATGCATGCAAACGACATATACAAATACAGTGTGTTCTACCTATCACGTTCCTGTGCTGGGCAAACATTCCTACCTTCTGACCACCAAGATCAGTACCTGGGGTCACAACATACCCCAGCTGGGAAAGTGCTGGGCTGCTAAGAGAGGGAGGAGAACTCATATCCAGGGGCTGTAGATCAGTTATGGCCAACCAGCAGGGGCAGGGGCACCTGTGGGGGCTGAGTCCTTGAGGAGGCTGCATCAAGGTGGGAGAGTCTAAGGTTAGAATAGAGAGTGCTTCTCAGTACAGGAGTGTTCTCCCAGGACACAGGGTTTAACACTTGGCAGAGATACTAGATGCGCAATAAACATTCTTTGGCGAATGAATAATACTTTACAAATGAAATATTTGATTATGCAAAGAAAGAATATCAAATGTATAACAGATGAGGAAAATTCTAACCCAGGGAAATGGTGGATTAAAACACAGAGAGCTGGAGGTGGAGCTCAGGGAGAGGGCACTTACTTAGCTGGGGTGAGGCCTGGGGCTCTAGCCTCAGAACCACCAATAAATTAAACAAATCAATAAATCAACCAAAAACTGAAAAAGGAATGATGCTGTCTTAATTTATATTATTTCCACATCTTCCTATTAAATGTATAAATTTTGAGAGAATTCTGTGTTAACATTCTCCAAAACTCAAATGACAAAATAGACAAGATACATAACCAGATCTAATGGTCAGAGTTAATGTATTTATAGGCTCGGATTATTACAGAAAAACAAGTCCATGTTCTCAAGGATTCTAATTTTTAAGAAAACTTGGAGGGATTTCTCTTAAGGGGCAAACACTTGTGGAACCAGTCCCTCTCTGGTTTTCTTATTTTACCAAGATCAATCCTCGTGTTCCATTCTCTTAAAGCAGAGCTCGCCCTGGTTCTCTGGAGTGTTCATTTCTCCTCCCAACCCACCCTCCACCACTCCCACAAAATGCAGGAAACCTCTCATGCCAAGGGATAGGTCTAAGAGGTCTGTGATTGGTTTTTTTGATTAACTTCAGAAGAAAATCATGTTCAGTTATTTTCTTCACTAAAATATTCTGAATTTACATGATAGAAGGACACAGAATTGATTTTTAAAACATATTTCAACAATGATTTATATGTACAACAAATAAAATTTTAAGTACACTAAAGAGAATCAGGAACTACCTAAAAGAATCCCGTAAAGAAGAAAAGGAGGCAATTAATTACCATCCACATGTGCGCGTGTGCACACACATTCACACAGGCAAAGATACACACATGGGGAATCTGGATTTACAGACATTGAGTTTGTTTTGAAATGTGAGATTTTAGAGTTAGGAAAAGATGACCTTGCTTTAAATAATGCCATGACTAATTTTTAAGTAGACAATTAGTATTTTTTAACTCTTGGCCTTCCTGGGACAATATTAACACTGATCTCCATGTAAGGGCTACACCTCTCTGATACTTTAAAGGCTTTTCCCCTTACTGAATATTTTAAATAATAACACATTCATTTGATAGACATGTTAAGATCCCAAAGGAGTATATAGTGAAGACCGGGCTGTTCTTCAAAAACTAAAGCCATCGCTACTCCCATTCCTCCTCCTCTAGGGTGGCATAACTAGCCTGGATGCATGCTGCCTTTTGGAGATTTGAAGACATCTTCTTCCCAATTCCTCAGCATTAGGATAATGTAAGGGTTCCCTGGAGGGGGGACTCCCCCCACATCTTGGTCCTCCCCTTTCTAGCACACCGGCTCCCTCCACCTACCATTGAGGTAACACTCCTTGCATCCTCTGCTTTGACAGTGTTGGATTTGCCAAGTGGAGTCATAGGCAAAATTAGGTGGGAGCCTGGGGGACTGGACTGAAAGGTGTAACTTTCTGGATGGCAGATTTTATGGTGCTGGATTATTCTAGGTTGTCCCAGCTATATAGTAGTGCTTAAAATGCAGCATTAGGTCACCTCACAAAGCCTGGTGACATCACAGGGCATGGCCACCTCCCAGAGGCCCCTCCCCATGAGCTCCAACTAGCAGGTGGAGTCCAGGAGTTCAAGAGGTCAAAAGAGGCTTCCAGAAAGACTGGCAGCCCTTGTACCTCCATCCGGAGAAACAGGGAGAGCCTCGTGAGGGTCAAGGTCAAACCCTTCTCTAGTTTAGGCCTACTGTTTAGCTTTTCTGAAATAGACTTAAGAAAGATACAAGCTTTCAGAATACCTCACGAAACTTCAAGACAAGCTAAAGGGTTATCTGACTGCCTTTTAATTTCTTACTTTCCAATATATTTCTCTACATTTAGATTTTAGTACCTGAGTTCAGCCAAATGCTTGTGAAACTTTGTCCCTTATGAGTCTGAGTTGATTTATGCTTCCTGAGGAGGCTGACCCAGTGGTCTGCTTCAGGTTTGTGAGAGAAAGGGGGTGGCGGGGCCCTTCTGTTTCTTCCCTGGGGCAGGCAGGATGGGCAGGGACTTCCAGGCCCCCACTCCTGAGCCTCCTTCAGTCAGGCTGAAGGGAAAGGTGTGTCTGCTTTCTGTAACAGGGGGCAGGGGATGTCACTCACGGGTAGAGCACATACCAAGCCCTGGGATGGATCTCCAGCACTGAGGAAATGAAAAGAAGTAAAAAAAGAAAGAAGGAAAGTGTAAGTTTTTATTCACAATAGACTCAAACAGGAAACAATTGAAGTGTCATTGATAGTAGAATGGATAAATGGTGGCACATTAATATAACGGAATGCAAACAGCAACGAAGAATCCTGAACTACAGCAACGCGGATGCACCTCAGACAAAAGGTCCAGGGTTAGAAGCAAGACCCAGGCGTGCACCATGCTGTTTATATGATGTCAAGAAAAGGCAAATCCATCTGGAGTGATATCAGACCTTTGGGGGCCTGGGGTGGCACTAGGTACAGAGAGGGGCCAGGGCTGAGCCTCTCAAGTGCCAGAATGTTCTGTGTATGCCTGATCTAGAAGAGGCATCAGGAACTGTTCACTGAAGGTCTGCCTGCTTCAGTGGTGCTGTCATGTCTGACAAAGTTAAGGAGAAAAAAAGTCAACACAACTTGGGGCTGGGATTGTGGCTTATTTTGTTCATTTATTTATATGCAGTGCTGAGACTCAAACCCAGTGTGTCACACATGCTAGGCGAGCGCTCTACCACTGAGCCACAGACACAGCCCCAGAAATGCTACATTTTGTTTAACTATTCATCAACTGGTAAACATTTTATGTCATTTCTACTTTTTGACTATTATGAATGGTACTGCCCTGAATATTCATGCAGAGGTTTTTGTGTGGACATGAGCTTTCAATTCTCCTGAGTACCTACCTGGGAGTGAAACTGTGTATGGTAACTCTATGCTTAATTTTTTGAATAATTTCCAGACTGTTTTCCAAAGTAGCTGCATCACAAGATTTTTATTTCCAAGATTTTTCCCAAGAGAGAGGGAAATGATTTATTAACTGCCTTTCCTTGGGCTGCCTGTGGCATGTGGATTGCCTAGCTAGCCTCCACCATGTGTGCAGACCAACAACTGACAGGACCTTTTTAACAGATATATCTTATTGGTTCATTTCTCACCTGGACCATTGCATACTTATGTAAACCCCAATGTGCCTGATGAATTAGATGCAAAAATATTTGATGCAATCTTAGCAAATTGTACTCAACAACATATTAAGAAGATTGTACCCCACGACCAAGTTGGTTATTCCAGAGATGCATGGATGGTTTAATATAAACAAATCAATAAATGGGGACTGGGGTTGTGGCTCAGTGGTAGAGCACTTGCCTAGCATGCCTGAGGCACTGGGTTTGATCCCTGGCACCAATAAAAATAAGCAAATAAAATAAAGGTATGGTGTCCATCTACAACTAAAACAAAATATTTTAAAAAAATCAATAAATGTAATTTGTCACATAAACAGAATTAAGGACAAAATCACATGATCATCTCAGTAGATACAGAGGAAGCCTTCAACAAAATCCAGCACCCATTCATGATAAAAACACTGAAGAAACTAGGGATAGAAGGAACCTACCTGAACATCATAAAGGCTGTACATGAAAAATCTAAAGCCAACCTCACAGTAAATGGGGAAACACTGAAAGCATTTCCTTCAAAATCTGGGACAAGACAAGGAAGTTCGCTCCTATTTAATACAGTGCTAGAAATTCTAGCCAGAGCAATTAAGGAAGAGAAGAAAATAAAAGGGATAAAGAATGGAAAGGAAGAAATCAAATTATCACTGTCTGCAGATAATATGATCCTATACCTAGAAGATCCAAAAACAAACAAACAAACCTCTACCAAAAGACTTCTAGAGCTAATAAACAAATTTGGCAAAGTAGCAGTTTACAAAATAAACATACAAAAATCAGGAGCTTTCCTATGTACCAACAATAAATCTCCTGAAAAAGAAATTGCAAAACAAGTCTATTCACAATAGACAGATAATAAATAAAACCCAAGGAATAAATCTAACCAAGGAGATGAAAGACCTCCATAATGAAAACTATAGAACACTGGAGAAATAAATAGAAGACAAAAGAAGATAGAAAAACCTCCTACATTCATGGATAGACAGAATATTGTTAAAATGGCCATACTACCAAAATCAATATTCAGAATCAATGCAGTTCCCATCAAAATACCAATGACATTCTTCACAGAATTAGAAAAAAAAGTCCTAAAATTCATTTGGAAGAATTAAAGACCAGAATAGCCAAAACAATTCTAAGCCAAAAGCAATATTGAAGGCATCACAATACCTGACTTCAAATTATGCTCTAGAGCTATAGTAACAAAAACTGCATGGTACTAGCATAAAACACATAGACCAATGGTACAGAATAGAAGACATAGAGACAAATCCTCACATCTACACTTATCTGATTGTTGACAAAGTTGCCAAAAGCATACATTGGAGAAAAGACAACTTTTTAACAAATGGTGCTGGGACAACTGGTTCTCTATAATGTACTATGAGACAAGCTTTATCTCCCACCCTGCACAAAATCAACTCAAAATGGATCAAAAAACCTAGGAATTAGACCAGAGACTGTACAACTCCTAGAAGAAAACACAGGGTCAACACTCCAGCATACAGGCATGGGCAAGGACTTTCACAGCAGGACCTCTAAAGCTCAGGTAATAATGCTGAGAGATAATAAATGAGATGGCATTAAATTCAAAAGCTCCTGCACAGCAAAGCAAACAGTCAGGAACGTGAAGAGAGAACCTACAGAATGGGAGAAAATCTTTGCTAGCTACTCTTCTGTCAGAGGATTGATATCTAGAATATATACAGAGCTCAAAAACCTTTTTGATAAAAATCGAATAACCCAACTAATAAATGGGCAAATGAACTGAACAGACTCTTCTCCAAGGAAGAAATACAAATGGCCACAAATATATAAAAAAGGCTCACTATCATTAGCATTAGGGAAATGCAAATCACAGCTACACTGAGATTTCACCTCACACCGGTCAGAATGGCAGTTATCAAGAATACAAATAGTAGTAAGTGCTGAAGAGGAGAAAAGTAACACTTTACGCTATTGGTGGGATTGTAAATCAATACAACCACTATGGAAATCAGGACGGAATTCCCCCAAAGATCAGACCTGGGAACACCATATAGCCCAGCTCCACCACTCCTGGGTGTCTATCCTGAAGAATTAGGGTCACCTCCCTCCACAGGTAAGTGATACAGAAACACCCACGTGTATAGCAGCACAGTTCACAACAGAACAGCCTGGGTGTCCGTCGACGGGTGAGGACAAAGAAAATTCTCCTCGGCCATAGAGAAAAATGAAATTATGTCATTGAGGGACAAGAGGAAGGCAGCAGGATGGGGCATAGCCAAGATGGCCGTGTCATTGAGCTGCTGTGGCCAAGCGAGACACATGAGAAGCATGTCAGTGCCTGTGGGGATCGTCCACAGAGGAGGGGGACGTGCCACCAGCTCTTCTTTCTCCTGGATGAAGGACTGCCAGCTCCCCCAGGCTTCTGAGCTGGGGACTTGCCATCACTTAGGGGAGCTCCCAGGGCAGGACACCAGAGGGACAAGAGGATAACCCCCTGTGCTAGACCCAGTCATCTCCTTGGCAGCCAGCAGGAGGCTGGGTGGGGCCAAGAGGGTCGGAAGTGAGGGACCCCAAACAGAAGGCTGCTGGAGTAGTGACATCCACACCGGCGTAGGTGGGAGTCACCCAGCCAACCTCCCCTC